TAAAGATGGGGAAAGAAGAAGGAAAGGGGGGGGGGCATTCAGAGCGATGGCGTTTGTCTTCCCAAGTCACTGTTCTGCGTGACGGAGCCCTGCTTTCCTGGGGATGGCTGAACCACAGCCTGCCAATGGGAACTGGGGAATGAATTCCTTGTTTTGCTTTGCTTGTGTGTGCAGCTTTTGCTTTTCCTATTCAACTGCCTTTATCTCAACCCATGAGTTTTCTCACTTTTACTCTGCCCATTCTCTCCCCTGTCCCACCGCAGGGGAGTGAGCAAGCGGCTGTGTGGTGCTGAGTTTTACCCGGTTGGGTTAAAACCATGGCACCTTGTCATTTCCTTACTTCCTTTTGTCTCTTCTCTCCCCCATCCTCCCCAGCCCACCTGGCTTGGTATTCTGCAGGTGTTCTCTTCCCATTTTTCACTTATCCATAACAGTGGTGCTTCAGGTCCATGTTTTATGTCTTGATATGTCTGGTTTCTTTGTTCACCTGCAGGGTCACCTCTTTACAAATCTGTTAGTTAGTGAGCGTGACTCCCTGACATGGACGGTGAGCTGATGCTTAACTTTTTCTAGTTATTTTATTTGCTGCTTTAGCAACCTTTGGGGTGCCCACTGCAGTGCAGGAGGTCAGTAAAGAGGTGAAAAAAGAGCAGGTGCCTTCAGAGAAGGAACTCGCCCCTTTCTTCTGCTTCTCCATAACAGAAGGTGTGCGCTGAGGCTGAACCGGCACTGGCAGCATCCTCTGCCCTGGTGCTGATTTTTTGCTCGATTGCCATAGTAGGTTTGCTGGAAGGAGCCTTTGTTTTCTCTGTAATTTATCAGTGGCAGCAGGAAAGGCTCCTTAAACTCTTCACAAATGACTACCCTGCACCTTGGTGCCTGACACTTCAGTAGAGCCCAGCAGCCCGTTTTGTGTGTTGGGGCACCTTTTTGCCAGGTGCTATACACAGTCACCATAATCCCCACCCCGAACAGCTTGGGAAGATTACCCAAAGCCTGGAGGATTTCTGTTCATGTACTGATGAGAAGGAGAATGTCAAACAAAAGCTGGAGCTGGGATGGATGGAGATGGATTCTGTGGACAAAATCTGGAGCTTCCCTAGTCTCTTTTTTTCCAGTCTGTATGTTTTCTTTCTACCTTCCTTGCACATGTACACAGAGTCATTTGTCTTTACTCTCCGGAGACGTGTACAGTGCATTGGTCTATTGAAGCTGCTTAATAATACGTGTGACCTGCACATCTGTTAATTAGACTGCCCTTTTTTCATATCTGTAGAAATTTTTAGGTGAAACCGTTTCCAGATGAAAATGATGGAGGCATTTACAGACATTTAGCAGCATTCCAGCTTGATGATTTCCTTGTTTTCTTTCTTGTTACATCCAAATTTGATCGCCGTATTGGTCTATTGAAGCTGCTTAATAATACGTGTGACCTGCACATCTGTTAATTAGACTGCCCTTTTTTCATATCTGTAGAAATTTTTAGGTGAAACCGTTTCCAGATGAAAATGATGGAGGCATTTACAGACATTTAGCAGCATTCCAGCTTGATGATTTCCTTGTTTTCTTTCTTGTTACATCCAAATTTGATCGCCGTGATAGAACAAGCTCTGTGTCCGCTCAGCGCGACACGGCAAAGGGAGCACGTTGCCCCTGCGCTTCGCTTGCTCAGTTAAACACGGTGTTGGACTCAAGGTCATTTCCTCGCACTCTCTGAGCTCCACAGGCTGGTGCTGAGCTACCTGAGAGACATCCCTTTCTTGACAACCCTGACTTCCTGTAGCCAAAAGGATAGGACGACGTTGCTGCTCGTTTCTCACTCGATTCCTTGAAATACTGCTGTAAATTACTAACAGATACCTGCAGCACACTGCTTTGGGGCATGAATGGTACTTGCTTTCTTGCACACTCTCGTCCCAGTCGAGACTTTATCATGATTTGGCAGGAACCAGAGGAGAGTTTTGTCTGCTGAGACAATCAGACACTGTCTGATGACAGCATCTGCCGCTGTGTTTTTTCCGACGTGAACCCTTATCTGCGGAGAAGTAGGCTGGGTATCACAGTCACATGAAAATACGTAGTCTGTACACCACAACATTCTTTTGCATTCTTGTGACCCATTTCCCACTGAAGAAGTGGCCGCCGTGTAATTGTGATGGGCAGTCGTCTTTCCAGCTGAAATAGCAGGAAGGTATTGCCGAGTGCGATACTCAGTCGTTTTACTGAGGAGTAAAGAGCGGGGAGAAGGTTTGAAGCTGAAAATAAAGCAGGGCAGTGAAAAGAAATCCTTACAGGAGAACAGAATTGCCAGGCTGGGAGGGAAGCACTGTTTTTTCAGGGGAAGGATAAATTGATAAGGTAGGGTCTGCTGAGATTTGAGTCCCCAGGATCTCTGACTTCATCATTAAATTCATCCTGGTTGCCTGTATTAAACAGTGCCAACGAGAAGGGGCCGTCTCTCTTCTTTCTTGTGTCCCTTACTTGTGCAAAGGACTGGTGTGTTTTTCCAAAGGTAAATTGTATCTTGGGAACCCCAAATCGGTGTTGTGGTCGCTCCTGTTTTCACACTGATGTGTACTTAGGTGGGTCTGCCGATGTGAAATCTGTTCTACCTTTGCTTGCCACTTCACACATTTATTTTCACTTCAATTTCTGAAGCAGTGACATTGTGCACTGTATTTTGAGCACTAATGTTGATTGAAGTTCTCCCTGAAAGGATGTGCACTTGAACTGTCAAGAGAGTGAGTGATTGACAGCAGGTAGAAGTACTTTTTGTGTCAAGGCTTTGTCAAGTCATTGTTGTAAAACCTACTTTACTGAATACCAATAATTCCTGCTAGGGTGTTCAATCAAAAGATACCCTGTTCCAACACCATTTTAGAATAATATTTAATACTTAAAGTCCTTCCCTAATAGGCAAGTGTAAGGTAAGTGAGTAACAGTGCTTTACACTATGTTAGTCCATCCGGGGGGCTGCTGTGAGCATATTTGCAGCCCAGGATAAAGGGACAAACTCTTTTCATTCCTTTGTACACTGATGCTGAGAGAGCCTGAATGGAGAGTTTAATGCTGTGTCTTTCCTAACTGCTTGTTCAGCACACCTTCCATAACCAAGAGGCTTAAAAACTCACAGCTGTTGGGTTTTTT